CACACCTCAGAAGAGCTCACAGAGGAACATGAGGTGATTTCGAGACTCCGTTGCAAAAGTGCATAGACAACATTCATCGGATTGAATTTATCCCCACGAAACCAGTTTTTAACGAGTGGTCTATTTTTTAAGTGACTATCCCACATATTAAAAACATGCTTAAACACATCACCTTTGCACCAAACTAAGGCAGTGTGGAGAAAAAATCATGACACACACAACATCAACCAAAATCCAGTTTTTTATTGCATTTTTTATGCAACTATCATTATTTTAATAATATATCTATTGTTTAAATATATCATTTTTCTCATTTATGTTTCTACTATGTATATATATATCAAGATTAAACACTATTAATTGTTCATTACTAATAATGGTATTAAAACCCCTACAACCCCGCGCCGGGCGCGGGGACCGCCCCTAGTAATTCTATGTAAGAACTTTTCTTTTCCTTGCTACATATATTTGATATTATGTATGTTGGAAAATAAACAAAAGTCATACATCAAAAAACTAGAAAATAATTGTCTAATATATAAATCAAATCCGACTCTAGTTAGTATAATATTTTTTGGGAAAAATCTACAAATAAATATATGTGTGTTTAATAACCTTTCAGTCTTTTTTTTTTTGGTGCACCAAATTTTCATTAGATACTTAAGCAAAGTCAACGGCGAAGGCAGAGAGAGCAAGTTTTGCTAGAGAATCAGCCACAACACTAGCCGCTCTAGGAATAGAAATATAACTGAAACTTGAAAAGGATAGAGAGGAGATACAAATGTCCGAAAGAACACCATGTAGCTCTGAGAAGGTGGATGAAGTGTTGATCGCAATAGTATAAGATATTAGCACTTTTTATAGGATAAAGAATCTTAACTTCTTTTTGAATATATTACCAATTGTTTTCAATAAAATTAGGTTAATATTTTAATATTGTACTTTAAAAAAATTTGAATATAGAAATAAATATTATTTTTATTTATGTATATATTTTATTTTTCTCATATGGTTAATAATTTTAAAAACCAAATCTTTTTTTCCCTCTAGATTTATTATTTATTACAAATTATGAGAAATGTTACATAAACGATTCTACAATGGACAATTCCTTCCGACCATTATTAGATCCACGATAGACGATACTTCCTTTTTCATGCTCTTGACGGATACCTTTAATGATCTACGATCTGACGACACTTCTTTCTCTGCATAGAATCTTGGCGAACGGCTATAATTGTACATCGCTGGAGATCTCCTGCACACTTGCCACCATTATTCTGCAAATTTATTAATAAATCGCAATATCTGGGACTCGAACCCCAGACCTTTTGGTGTAGAATCATTAATTAACTCTTAGTTAACCAATGGGTCAAGGGGGCTTAAAACAAGTTTCATATAACAAAATATTTTGGAGTTAGAAATTAAATAATTGAATTTTAAGAAATGGAATATTTTTTTCCCAAAATAAAAAACTGACACAGGTCCATGTCTTATAAAGGTCAATTATAGAATCCCATTGTAATACGTAAATCACATGTGTTGTAAACTTGTAATAGTACAAATGTATTTTTCCTTTATTTGAGTTTCTTTCTTTTTTCTAGTCAAAATTTGATTTTGTTTCTATTTTGTTAAATATATCCTTCCTTTTTTGAACATAATGTTAAATTAGATTTAAAATAAAATAAACATTTTTACAACTTGTGCAACGGTTGTTTGAAGAAATCATAGCCAAAAATATATATAAAACATGCATAAGCATAAATCAAAGACTTATACTCTCATTTGAAGCCATTGTTGGAAGTCTTCCTCGTATCGTTTATCTCCCATCTATCGGATTGTTGATAACTGGTTTCAGACTTGTTTGTCTATCCACCGGATTAGTTGGTTTATAGAGTTTGTATCTTCCCCATGTCTTCTACCATTCCGCTCCCTCCAAACCATATAGACCGTGGCTTGGAACACGTCGAATAAGAAACATGGTAAGATTTTGATGCCAATCAAATGAGAACTTGTTTTTGAATACGCCTTTAGCTAGAGAATTCCAAATTTCTGAAACATATTGATAAGAGAAGAACAAGTGATCTCTGGTTTCCATGCTATTCTTGCAAAGAGCACAGATTCCCGAAGCTCCCCCATTCCACTTTACTACACGGTCCCTGTCGCTAGACTATAATGAGGCGCTAACCAAACACAAAAAAATACTTTGGTGTTGCGTGAGTAAACCATACGCCTTTGTGCCAAGTGACTGTGTTAGAGGTTTGTCGAATATGATCTCAAGTGTCCTTAGAAGAGAATATTTCTTTGAAGATGTCACCATTCCCTCGCCGTAACACAACGTCAGCATGCATCTTATTACGTTTGCGTCATTGTGAAGCTAAAAGATCTCCCATTTGGTTTAGATAGTCAATTCGATGTTGTCTTCTCCGTATGGTTTTCCATTCGTCTGCCACTGTCATCGTCCGTGGTATCCCCATAACTATGACTCCTCTTGCACCTGCAACATCACCAAATCTACCCATCATCGACCACTCATCAAACCAAAAAGAAGTGGTAACTCTGTTCCCAACTTCGACCTTACAAAAAGATTTCGCCACTTCTCTGTACTTTAAAATTTTGGTCCAGATCCAAGAAACCTTCGACGTATTCTATTTTACTGTCCAAATTGATTCATTTTTCAACAAAAACATATCAACTCATTTTATACATAAAGAGTTGACGTGGGATATGTTTCTCCAGTTCAGTTTCGAACAACATACATCATTCGCTTCTTTTAAAGATTTTAGGCCTAGCCCGCCCTTTGCTTTTGGTGTACATACCTTCTCCCATGATATATCTTTTACTATAATTAAGGATGTCAAAATGGGTCAAGATTCATGGGTCAACTTAACTCAACTCAACCCATGAATCCTAATGAGTTAAATTTTAGGACTCAAATGAGTTGATAGATCAAATTAGTTATTAGGTCAAATGATTTGATGGATGAAATGAGTTGGGTTGTAATGGGTCAATGGTTTCAATAGTTTACCCATTTAACCCATCAATTTTTGTTAAATTGAATCAAACCAACTCAAATCTTTAAACCGTTATCAGTTTGAGTCTAACCAAAACCTCTAAACCGATTGAATATAATCAATCTTTTCCCAAATATGGCTTCATCCAGTTTTCCAAATAAACCCATAATTTTCTAGCAAAAAAATGTGAATACACAATTTTCCAGCCAAAAACGTAAATTTCTAATTTCTCCGCCAAAAACGAAAATCCGCAATTTTCCTGTAAGAAAAATTCCCAATTTTTAACCAAAAACGAGGATTCGCAATTTTTCTACCAAAAACGTAAATTCGTAATTTTCCTATCAAAAACGTAAATTTGTAATTTTTGGCCAAAAAAGATTCACAATTTTTAACAAACAACGAGGATGTGCACTTTTTCGCTAAAAACATAAATCCGTAATTTTTCCGCCAAAAACGTAAATTCGCAATTTTCTAGCCAAAAAAATTTCATAATTTTTAACCAAAAACGAGGATGTGCAATTTTCCCGCCAAATAACGTAAATTCGTAATTTGCCCGCCAAAAAATATTCATAATTTTTAACCAAAAACAAAAATCTCCAATTTTATTTAGTTATGAAATAATATTTAAGATCACAAAATAAAATAGAGAAATTGCCTCTTATAGTCCCAAATAAAGTTTTTGGGACAAGAATAGCAGTCAAAAATTTATTGGACAAAAATAGCACCTTATTTTTGATATTCTAAGTTAATAAGAAATTATAAATAAATACAAAAAATCATAAATTCATCATTAATATTTTCCCGCCAAAATAAATTCCCGCCAAATATTTTCCGCCAAAAAAAATTTCGTCAAAATTTCCCGCCAAAATATTTTCCGCTCCCGGGAAAAAAAGTATCGTCAAAATTTTCCCGCAAAAAAAAATTTGTCTGACTTTTCCTGCAAAAAAAAAATCCAAAAATTCAGGAAGGATTCCACGAAATTCATGAAAGATTCCACGTAATTCTGGAATGATTACCACGAATATTAAAAATCCTTCTTGAATTACGTGGAATCCTTCCTGAAATTCATGAATTCATGAAATATTTTTTGAATTACGTAAAATCTTTCTTGAATTTCGTGGATTTTTTTTTTGCGGGAAAATTTTGATGGGATTTTTTTTTGCGGGAAAATAATGAAAAAAAAATTTTGCGAAAAAATTTGATAAAACATTTTTGGCGGGAAAATATTTTTATGTTGCGGAAATTTTTTGGCGGAAAAAATAAAATTTGGAGGAAAAGTTCTAATTTTATTTATATATTTATTGTAATTAAACTAATTATTCATATTTAATATTTAATTAAAATTTATAGTGCTATTTGTGGAAACTTTTCAAATGTAGTGCTATTTTTGGAAGAAAAACTTATTTTAGTGTTATTTTGTCAATGTTCCAATAAAATAAGATTAATTTTTCAGTGGATTTAAGAAACAAATGGTTAGAACTAAAACAAGAAATATGAGATCTATAAAAGAAAAAGTGGAAGTAGTCATAGAGCATAGTTTACAAGATATTATTGATTTATAAAAGTCAGTGCACTATTTTTTACAAGTTATTTTGACAAATTAAAAAAAAAAAAAAAAAAAGGAGTGTAAACATAGTAACACACACAGTCACACACTCCCAAATGCATCTAATAATTACCCGCACGCATTAACATATCTCTCACATGTGTCTAATGAGGAAGTCTCTTAGAAACAAAACACCCAAGGCATGTCTCATCACTTGACCAGCTTTTGTCTTCTTCCCACAGACATCTCCACTCTCCTTTGTCTTCTCTCCAGAAACCCTAATCACTCTTAACACACAAAACACAGCTTTTCAAAACTATATTAATTTATCCTTTTACTATTCTAATCAATATGTCTTGGCAGCTTTTGATATTTTCTTAGCAGACAAACACACTTGAGCTGTTTTCTTTCTATAAATACTCTGTTTTCTATTGATAACTTTCAGATCTCTCTCATGGCATTTCCTCAGAAAAAACGAACACCTTCTTTCTCTTCCTCTGTTCTTGACTCTGTCTACCGTTCTATCGACGAATCCGACGGTCTCCAAAGTGACCTAAGAGGATCCATCAACGAAAATGTATCTTCATCATCATCCTCACCATCACCAAACAAGAAAAACGACAAGCTTACAACTCTCCGGCGAGCAATCATGGACGAAGAACACTGGCTTTACGCCCGAAGCAGCACCACTACCACTAATTCCTCTGATTCCTCTGCTTTTTCCTCTTCCGAGGCAGAGACATATCGAACAAAGAGAAGGTTGAGAAAGCTTGCGGAACAAGGTAATAGATCAGGTGATGAGAGACAGAGAACAAAGAGAACGTCGGTACTAGATAATGATAGATTTATCTCCAAGTCGGATAATGATAAAAAGCTTAAAGCCATGACGATGATCGAGGAGATAAAGAGATCGAAGCAGCCAGTGTCTCCTGGAGCTCGTCTCACCAGCTTCCTCAACTCCATCTTTCAATCTAACGCCAAGAAAGTGAAGCTTTGTTCTGTCGGTAAGACCACAGACGTCAAGTCCTCTTCCTCATCAAAGTCTTGCTTCAGTCGAACAAGATATAAAACCGACAACAACAACAACAACTGCAAGAAGTTGGAAAGATCTATCAGATTCTATCCCGTTAGAGTAACTATCGATGGAGACTGCAGAGACTCTGTTCACAAAAACATTACTCGCGAAAAAAAACAGATTCCAGAATTTACTGCTAAGAGGAGTATCAAAGAGGAGATTAAGACCAAACATCACCACACTGAGTTTACTTGCATCACAAGAAAGATCGGTTTGAAGGATTTTGTGAGAAGTAACAAATATGAAGGTAAAGAAGATGATGATGATGTTTGGAGTTACTCAAGTTCGGATCTGTTCGAGCTCGATAGTTACCGGATCGGTATGGGGCGGTACTTAAAAGAACTTCCGGTCTATGAAACTACTGATTTCAAGATAAATCAAGCTATTGCTAAAGGCTTGCTTTTGTAGCCTTTTATTACTTCTTTTTTTCCTTATCATTGAAACCAGTTTACTAATTACCCCAAAAGAAGAGATCATTTTACTATTTCTATATTTTGTTGCATCAATGTCACGTGCCCGGTTTTGCGATTACTAGCAGCAGGTCCGGCTCATTAAAACATTGGACCCTGCAAAAATCTATATTTAAAAAAAAAAATCAAATTCTCAAATTGTAGCAAAATGTGGACCCTTAAATATAAAAATATTTGGTTAAAATATTGTAGATCTTAAGATTTCAAGACCTATATTTAAAAAAAAAAAAATCAAATTCTCAAATTGTAGCAAAATGTGGACCCTTAAATATAAAAATATTTGGTTAAAATATTGTAGATCTTAACATTTCCTCTTAGGTGCATGCCAAAAAATGTGCTTAACTAGGAGTACCAAACGAATTCATTTGTATCATCCACATTCGTATGTGGTCATCTAAATTGTTATCACTTATCACCTAGCTACGAATTGCCAAATAGTTAAAGAACAATATGGTCATCTATGAAAAATATGATCCACGTTGTGCTTGTATAATTGAGAATCCAAAGTCTTAATATTATCTTGTTTACGATTCTAATGGTGATCCAATGTCGGTTGCACATCTTACGATAAAAGTTTTTCAAAATCGACATTGATAAAACTATATTCGTTCGATTATGTCACATGAAAAGTTGAGTAGCTTACGGCTTACCTTATCTTATTTATCCAAAGAAATTTAACTGTGAAAATTTGATTAGATATTTTAGGAAGAAAGTAAGAAAAATTATGTTTTTGAATAAAATATTTTGGTTAACCTTTTCATTTTCTCTTATTATATATATCAACTCATCAATAAGATCTTACAAGCCAACGATGCATTTTAAATTTGTGGTACGTATTGTACAAGAACAGATACATGTAATTCTTTTTTTATTAATTTATGTAATCAATGACCCATAAGTATTATTACATGGACAGATGCATGTGCATTAAAACAAGTTCTCTTATCCCCCAAAGAGGACTCTTCACAATACAGCTTATTTTGGTTGTGTTATTGATTACATCCACTTTCTATTTCTTTCTTTTTTTTTTTGGTGTGAAAACTTTCTATTTCTTTCTTGTTTCTGTAAGTTATATGTTTTGTCTTTGTCTTAAAAAAGGTCCACGATTCCATGTAGTCTAATGGGGTCTAACTCCTACAAACGACATTGCTTTAATGATGCACAAATTGTTATATTAAGTTTTTCATTCAAAAAATAATGTTAAATTAAATTTTTCTTGTAGCGAAAAAAAAAAAAAAAAAAAACAAAATTTGCGGAAAGATGATATACAAAATAAGATCAACAGGGAAATTTACTCTAATAATAAATGGTTTCTGAGTATTCTTGATTAGTAGGGTAGAAATATAAATTAAACTGCGCCGTGAGAATTTATATTTATATTTATATTTCTACTCCTAATCAAGAATACTCTATACTAATCAAGAATACTCAGAAACCATACTAATCAAGAATACTCTAAAATTCTCACGGTTAACAAAAAGAAGATGATATTCATCAAAGTTCTACCCTACTAATCAAGGTATAATATTCTTTTTGTTAACCGTGAGAATTTTATACCTAAGTCCAAAACTAATATTTTGATTCTCCAAGGTCCATAGATATTCAAATTTTTTGTGAATGAAAGCGTCTACGGACGAGTGGCCAAAGATGATTGAATCACAGTCGAAGGACTCGAACTCTTCAGCAATTGGACCACCACAATTTGGTTATAATATAGTATCATATAGTATAATATATCCTATACTATTATTTGAGGAGTACAATTTATAATTACCCTTAATTAACTGTCCCATTTGTAATAATTTACTTAAGAATGCCATTAGAAATAAAATTTTATAGAGTAAATTAATTCAACTCATTAAGGATAAACAAGTCAAATACTATTTTATACAATTTAATTAATTTAATTTAATTATAAAAACGAAAATCTATTATTAATTTCTATAAAAAGAATGACCAATCAAAATGAACATATAAGATTTGATATCTAACTTCCCATATTAATTTGTTATTAATCATTATATTTCACCTCTCATCTTTATATGATTCTATTTCCATAAATAAATAAATCATTATATCATCTATATAATAAAAAAAAAAGTAATTTTTTTTCTGCATATACCAAGACTTGAATTTTTAAAAACGAATATAAATTATTCAATGTATGAAAGAACAAATTTAACTGGTCAAAAATTCATATTTGAGTAATATATTCCTTTTTTTTTAGTATCATCAATACTGAATAGATCAAAAATTTATGAAGTATAAATACTCTAATTTGATTTTTTGAAACAAATATTTATAATAGGCGGCGGGTTGAATATAATATATTATATGATGAAATGAGTTATGATCCTTATAACTATTTAAATATTTCTATTTAATTTCATATCATTTTAAAAAAAAATTCATAATTTTACATACAACAATAAAAAATTTTAAAAAATTTAATTTGGAACATTTTAAAAAAGTTTAATTTATTATATTAAAGAATATCATAAATATTTAATAGATTAAAAAGATAAAAAAAATTATAAATACATTAATTTGATTTTCTAAAAAGATATGTTTAAAATATTTATAGTAGGCGGCGGGTTAAATGTAATGTATTATATGGTAGAAAGTTATGATCCTTATAACTGACGACATTTTAAGATTTTATGATGAGATGAGTTAAATAAGGTTTGACACTTCTAAATATTTGAAAATTTAATTTTGCAAGCAATTTTGAAAATAATAAATAATAGATTATGCCGCAATATTTTCATAGAGATTGTAAAATGAAAATATAGACTCCACACACGGATTGAATTTGGTATTATTATATACCAAATATATGTTCATAACATATTTGATTATGTGAATAATTGGTAAATTCCGTAATTAGCTCAAACAAATCTCTATTTTAACAACCAATGAATCAGAATTTGAAAAAATAATTTTCTAAATTAATTCAAAATAATAGCTAATTTTTTTAAGTAATTCAAATTAATCTACGTTTTAGATGCGATTTATTTATGATATTTTAATTTTTGATCTAACTAAATTATATGCACTCTCATTTTGTGGTTGTTAACATAAATTAACTCATTGTTCAAACAATATTAATTTTTTTAAAAATAATCTTATTTTCCGTTTACATATCTTAAAAAAAATATCCATAATTGAATACTATAGAAAAAAGAAAATATATTCATTCTAATATTATATATAAGGACTGACAAAAAAAATATTATATTTTCACTAACTATTATAATATATCACAACTTTATTCTAAAACATAAAATTTATTAATTTTGTAATAAATGAAATTCAACCCGTACTGTAGTACGGGTGATGATCTAGTGTATGAATTTAAATTATTATCTATTATAAGTTTATAACTCATGATATATATATCAAATTCATATAATCTCTTTTAAATTTATTTTAAAATTTCATGGACATCTAACTCAAAAATAATTGGCAATGGATAGATTGATTCATATCTCTTATAATTTATTTTAGAACACATCAAATTTTTGATATGAAATTCCTAACTTTTGTACTCGATATTATTCGTTCATTATAATAAAGTCATGTATTTGTCATCAATAGTTTTCATATGTTTCAAACAACTACTTGCAAACAATAACTACAACTATTTTTGCTTTTGCAGAACCATGGTGAATTGAGCGTAGATGAAGATGATTTTGTTGTATTATGCAAAATCAGTAGCAAGAAAGTGTATTATTCAGGCTTAAAAGTTTTTAGTTCGGTCCTACGCCCAAGCCACTGGCCCAAAAACATCGATATTGTTCAACAGAGGACGTTTTACTTCCTCAAGAAATCTACACGCTTCGTTTTGTTAACAAAGTAATAACCGTAACATATATTAACTAATAAGCTAAGTCAATAGATTTCCAGGCAGATTTTCTGATATTGAATGTCACATTAGCCGAGAATCACGAAATGTCGATAAGGAGATCATGCTTGGAGAAAGAATAGGGGTTAATGCATTAATAATAGTTCGGGTCAGAGATGGTCTTATTACAACAAAGGTTTTGATTAAGCACACAATTGTTTAATCTGCGTCAAAGACATCCTAAGAGAAGAGCCACAACTGGTTGAGACGAATTTAAGAGAAAACTGAGAGTCTTAGAATCATTTACGGTAATCGAAGGAATCCAATGATGCGGTGTGTAGCTTTAGTGACCATATTTCTGGAAATCCCACTCGCTGCTATCTGTTGAAAACGGAACAAGAAGCAAAAAACAATGAGAAGAGAAAACGGAAAAGAAGAAAGAAGCTAGTTGATCAGAAGAAAACATACCAAGTGGACACTTTTGTTGCTTCTGGAGCCATCTGCTGATACAGTGGAAGTGAAAAGCGTGGTTGCAAATCCCTACAATTCAACAATGGCATGTTTCTTTAGCAGTCTCGGATATTAAACAATAACTAAGTTTGCACAAGTAGACTCTCTTACAAAGCAGCCACAAACCAAAACACAAAGGGACAAATACTAGTATCTTAAGATAAGAATGCCACAGGATCTAACCTAACTCTAGCCAGAAAAAAGTTTTGCCACTCTTCTTGATTTACTCAACTTGTTGTTGTAATCTCAAATAAAAAGTAGAACATTCAATCAGCAGATTACATAGCTCAATGGAGAAAGAGAAGTATAAACAAAGCATATGCGACACCAAGAAGCAAAGAAGCTAACCTAACTCTAGCCAGAAAAAAGTTTTGCCACTCTTCTTGATTTACTCAACTTGTTGTTGTAATCTCAAAGACAAGTAACTCAATCAATATCCAGAATCAACAAATCAACACAAAGAAACAGAGGAAGTTGCGTGTTATACAAGTTTGCAAACAGAGCCAATATTGATCGACTATAGAAGAACATAGACTTACCCCAAGCAACAGTGCATTCCCCGCTAGTGGCACTAGCTTGATTAGCTTGACATTCAATGCCTACAATCACAAAAACACGCAACAACGAACTAAGCCTAAAACAATCCATCAAGATGATTCAAAAACAAAAGTCTCAAAAGCTTACACAGATCCATGATGTGGTTTCTACAGATTGCGCAGTTATCAACAACGATATCTGAAAATCAAACAAAAGCGAATCAAACAAAACCCTAAGAAGAAAACGTAATCGGAAGAATTAGGGTTTGGTGATAAATACCCCAAGACCAGAGAGCGACGGCACTCCACTTCTTGATATCGAAGCGTTTTGCTTTCTTGGAAGAAGATGAAGGAACGGCGCAGGAGGAGGATTCACCGGCGGGAATCATGGTAACGTCGGAGCAGAGCGAAGCCATTGATTGATCTCTTTGATCGGAATTGAAATTAGTTACTGAGAAGTTGAAACCCTAGAAAATTCTGAAGAACTGAGAATTGAGAGAGATTTATAAGTTCTCAATTCTCACTCGGATTTGGAAACACGGTGAATTTATTTAGTCCAAATTTTTTTCTTTGGGTGTTTTGGGCCAAATTGGTTACTTATTTTGAAAGTAAGCAAAAGGTAATCAAAGCAGAACAATTGTTACAAAAGTGAAAAATATTATTTAAAAGTTCATATTTTATACCAAAACTATATTTTAGTCTTTTTTCTGTCATTTTGTTTTATTAATAACATAAAAAAACCAAAGCATACAAAACCGAATAAACAGTCCAAACCCAAAACAATATACTCCGTTAGAGAAATAGAGTTTTGTTTGATTCGCGTTAGAGAAATAGAGTTTTGCATGAGATCTATAATTATTGTTAGACATCAACAATAGAGTTTAAGTTCACATCATTCATTACTAGTGAGTGACACACATAATATGTCTTTAAAGCATAAATTTTTAAGTAGCAGAGTTCTTGCGAATCATCAAATATCCAAACTTGCCAGCTCCTGGAGATGATCCTTCAAACACATACGGCATAAACCCTGTTGCTTCCTTGTACTTTTTCTGAATCTGCAAATTCATAAAAAAAAAACATCTTAAATTAACCTTTTGGTTATACCTCCAAGAATCATGTGATCAATCAAACTTGTGATTCTTTGGACCTGAAGAATCTGTTCACTGCTTCTCAAACTAGCCTTTCCAATAACGCAAACCGTACCGCCGCTTCCACCTCCAGTAATCTTGGCTCCGTAAAGAGTCCCGTTCTCGGTTTTAGAGCTCTTCAAGTTCTCCATATTCTGCACTAATCTCACTAATCTGTCTGTTCCATCAGAGCCAATTCCACACGCGCTGTAACTGTCGTGGCACTGCCAAGTAAACAAACGATTAACGGTTAACTAAATAGCAGAACCTCGATTATAAGAGCCGTGTTTGGTTTGTAAAACTATAGATTTACCTGGTACATAAGCTCCCCAAGACCAATGACTTGTTCTTCTGAAGGAGTTGCTGTCAACAATGCTTTGAAAGCCTGAGAATGAGATCATTTTTCTTACATGTCCACAACTAAAACTTAATATCATCAAAATGATTCTATATATACAATTAGATTAGTTCACCTGGACACGGAAATTCTCATAAATTGGATGTCTAGTCGGCGCCATTATGGCGTATGTACCATTTCTGTCAATGGTTGTGACAGAATCCCCGTGATCACCATACTTCTTGACGAATTCTTCTCCCGTGATAGACTGTGGGAGCTTACTTGCGTAAAGAGCTTGAAATCTGCAAAAGATTGAAAAAAAAATCGATATAGTCTAATTGTGTAACACTGATATTATATAAATAGCGGGACTCATAGTACCTATGAGGTGAAAGGTTGCATAAGTAATCCAAAGAAGCATCGGATTCAATTAACTCCGAGCTCTCCTCTTCAGCCTCTTCTGAGTTGGTGTCAATAAAAGAAGATGCAAAAGATTTTATCATTGTCTTACCGATAAAAGCTCCTATCCTCACTGAACCATAGTCTGAACCACCAACACTGCATAGTAAAAAAATGTGTTCAGAACAAAATGTAAACTTTAACACTCTTGCATTTTCTTGGGATTCTGCACATCTAAAGGAAGAATATACACAGCACCTGTGTCGTATTCCAGAATCGATACCCCAGAATCGAATGTGGGAAGGAATTTCAACAAGTCCTAGTATTTCAGCCGGCTGCAACGAGTACAATCACCGGTTATTACTCTTCTAAGAGAATCAAGTTTTTGTAGGAAACGAAGAGAGAAAGTACCTGACAGATCATAGCCAAAAGCTTGTTAGCTTCTCCACAAGCAGAAGCCATCTGATCCATCACTCCACAAGGTGCTCCAACAACATAATTCTCCACTTTTTGGCAAAGCAAAGCCACATCTCGTGGAGATATTTCAAGACCTGCACATTCAGCTCAATGAATCAACTTGTTAATTAGTTATTGCGGAGAAGTTGTACTAACCATGAGCAGCAGCAACAGCTGACATGGTAGCAACTTCAACTGAAGCAGAGGAAGATACTCCTTTGCCTTCAGGAACCGTTGAAGATACCTGAAAACGTGCATGTAACTGATTAGCTCTGAGTTAGACTCGTATATATAATGCTGATCATGAAAGTCAGAAACAGTTCTGTTACCAGTATGCTAATGCTGTCTTCAAATCGAATGCCCATCTCTCTCATTAGTACCAGAATTGTACCTGCAACATATGCCGCCCACCTAGAAATGGACTCAATGTTATAATATATCAAAAACTTTACGATGAAGTATCAAAAAAATGGGGTGAAAGAGATGAACCAACTTCTGAGACGGATCCCGTGAAAAGTAATGGTAGGCTTTCTCATAGGATATTGGTTTCCCATCCTCATCCATTAAATCAGACAAGTCCATGTCAAAAGTTGGCCCTCTGTTGCTCAGCTCAGATCCAAATGAAACCTGAAGTTTCAAAAAAGTTTTAGAGAAAGGCAATGTAGATCAGAAAGTAGAAAAGAACATACAATTTCAAGTATGGGAGTGTCTCTTGAATGATGGCGTGCTTCAGCGTGCTTCCAGAGTTTCTGTTTACTTGGATGATTCCTCTGTACAGCAGCATGACATGCCTCTCTCGTAGGCATCTAACCAATAACAAACAAAAACACTCTTCTGTTAAAGATTAAAGATAAATATTTAATGCCAATAAAAGATGAATCTTGGAGAGGGAATTAACCAGCAAGACAAGACTTCCAGAGTAATCAGCAATGCCTCCCATTACATCAAGTCTTCCGGGTGCTCTCGCCACAACAATATCCTCCTAAATGGCCACACAAACTTCATTAGTTCCTCAAAACACACAAACTTCATTGAATCCAAGAAATGGAACAAACCTCCCAGTTGAAAAGTGCGGCAGCCGCCAAATGCTCCCTTTCTTGATGATGGCCTCCTATTTTAGCCAATGTTGCCAAACTATCCAAGAAACCGATTGTATCTGAAAGACCAAGGTGATCTCCATGAAGAATTTCAAAGCCTTCTACAAACCTGTGAATAAAACACATAAGAGGTGAGTCCAATTTAGTCACATTTGAAAAATTACAAGTCCACAAGGAAACAAACTTGGAAGATTTCTGCGTCTGATCAACTGAAGGAATCCCAGCTTCGTTTCCAGCGACTTGATACCATTCCGGAACTGAAAGATCTCTTCCTGGAGCTCTTTGTAGCTGGAAGCCTAATATTATTGCATCTCGGAGTCTCCTCGCCCCGCTAAGCTACATTATCAAGGTGAGTACCATTGGATTGGCATTACAAATGACTCACTTTCTTAGATGACTCCATACATTTGAATCTCTCAATCTATAGTATCATCAATTAACATTTTCTTCCTTGTATCACTCACATTGAGTTTGGAACGCTTCTTCCCCATTGCTGTGTCATGCAGTATTTTAGCTGCGACCTGAAGTTAGAAACAAGCAGGAGCAATGACATCATAATTGAGAACTATCATATTACAGTACAAGAACAATTGGCTGGTAATATGAAGAGTTTTCACAGTCTACCTCGCCACCATCAATGCCTCCATCGTAACACGGTTTCAATGTAACTGCACGCTCAAGATAAGGAGCCCAGCATCCAGCTAGAAGATCCCTTCTGATCATTTCAACTCCACCTTGGTAATACTTTTAATGCAAAAAAAAAAGAAGAATTTTCAAGAGAAAGCAAAACATTTAAACAAACATAAATGCAGACTTTGTGTATATAACCTCAAGCATCTTTCTCAAGAATGGTTCTTCATTAAAGTAATCCCTTCGCACAAATATGAACCGTAACTTGTATGCGAGTGCTTCACTCACGGTTCCATATCCAATTTTTCCTGAAATTACCACAATTATTAGTTGTGAATTAGTTAATCAGCGCAATGTTACGGTCAAAGACTCATATATGATACCTAGCATGCAGTCTGAAGCAGCAATTACATCAGGAGTATAAGCATCTTTTGGAAGTGCTATGAAATTTGGGGGAAGCTCCTGTTTAGCAGAAGCTCCACAGACCTATATATGGCATGGAATTTTCATTCGTTATCGTATTTAAAAATCAATCAACAATACCAAAACGACATAACGGAATCTTGATATTACCAGGCATAACCAACCAGCTGGTAGATATTCCTCCTTCAGTGTCCAACCAGTTGGCTGCAAATTCACAGCAGCAATATATTGTAAACAAATATAACTCTAATTTGAATATTAAGATTAAAAGCTATAAGAGAATTTGCTTACTTGCCCACCAAAGTTGAAGATGAGTAGTTTCACATTGTCTGGAACTCCAAGCTCTCTCCTAACCTGAAATGAATCTGAATTTGGTTAAATCTGACAAAAGACATGTCCATTATTAAGCACTGAAAGTGGACTCTGGTCAGATCTGACAAAAGACATGAAAACTAACCTCTTGTCTAGATTTATGCACTGGCCTCACAACAAGGGGAATATCAATAACATCATGAAACGCAGGCACTGCAGAAGAACAAGAGATGGGGTTTGTTTTGGTATGTTATACAGAAAAATAAATAATGGAAATATGTGTATAACTTACTAGGACAGTAGCCAGGGAGGCGTATCAGAAACTCGCAGTGCGAATAATCCTCGGCTATCTGAAGAAATTACCATTGATGAATAGAGAAATCTGATTTAGGCTTATAGTATCAATTGAGAGTTACCTGCCAAACAATGGATCGGTGATGATGTCCCGCTGCCATCACATATTCTGCATATATGAAGTCCCAACTGCAATGATCACAATTCACAGTTCTGAGAAAACTAACTTTCTTGAGAACTTAAGCCATCTACCGGTAAACCAGCCCACTAACCTGAAGTTGGTGACGCAAACAGAGCGGATTCCGGCATTTGCTGCAGCACGGCAAGCGATGGGGACAACATCTGAGACCTGATGGGACCAATAACTTCTTAATTAATTTAGAAGCCACACACACGATAAATTTTTTTAGAACATTATATTGAATGCAGTTTTAAAGTACCACAAGGTTGGCTTTGATGGAATTTAGCCACTCAACCTCTGTGGCTAAAATAGAGTCTCGAGGTTCAACTGCAATCTCACAATACTGCAAATTTGACGAAAAAAGATTGATTCAGCTAAGCACCTAATGGTCTAAAGGAGAAAAAGGAAACATCTAAGAGAGATAACTGGAAGAGACCTTCTCCAAGGAAGCACGACGATCTACGGTTAAAGCATCAGCTTGTACAGATCCACAATCCAACAGTACCTAACATCACCTCCATACATTTAAAAAAAAAAAAATGGAGATCCATATTTGGATGTGTCAGAGTGAAACTCAGACCAAATATTTCTATGAAATTACCTTCCGGATAAAGAGATTTGGTGAATGAATCTCCATGGTGAAAACAAACTCTGGAGCAGCAGAGACAACATGAACTCGATGTCCAGACGATATCAGATGCCGAACCACCTAAGGCCATTACATGAAGAAATTAAAGGGATCAAGAATGTTATGATCTCAGGCAATAACATCAAGAATACTAACCTCCACGACACGAGTGGCGTGACCAAAACCATGGCCAGTTACGTAGTAGGCAAAAACCAAAGACGACCGTGATGAAGCAGCAGATTCAGACTCAGACATTGTGGAGCTGTTTGAAGCAGAAGGTGGGTCTTACACAATGTTAAATCGACGAATCTTTACTTTTGATTCTAAAGAAAAAAGATTTTTGATTTGTTGGTTAGCCATAAATGGGAGAAATCAGAAGATGATAAGATAAAAGCAAAATGGATACGAGTAAGCGTTACATAAGCTAAATATGGAGTCTACCGATTGTTTCTAACAACTTAAATCTTCTCTGTCCCTTTTCTTACGTGTTGCAGAGGAAAGCTGTCATTTTTTTTTGTTCTTCAACAAATTAAAAGCACTAGCTTCCAAATTCTTTTCTTACTTCTTTTTTTTCCTCTTTAGTTTTTTTTTTTACCTGCAACTTTTTATAGGTTTAATGATATCTATTATTTTTACACATTTATTATATAGAATCAAATGATATAAATAATCAAAAAGAAATATGGCATTGAGTAAACCTGAAAATAAATGTCATATATTATTGCATAAGTTATTGGAGAGAAATGTTAAGAGAATTTTAAGGCGTTTTTTTTTTCTGTTGATTTTTTTTTTTTTTTTTTTTTTTTTTTTTTTTTTTTTCATCCTTCTGTTGATATTTTTAAGATTTTGTTTTGCTATATATACAGTGCAATGTTGACAGGTTTTTTTTTTAATTCAAAACCAGCACGGCAAAATTTATTAAAAATAAGCTTGTCACAATTTGAATAATGGACAGATTTCAACCCAACAAAATAATAAAACGGCCCATTATGATTTGTTTATATCAAAACATCAGAAAACAAATCAAATGTAAAGTACTATAATTTCATGCAGTATGTTTAAGTTTAAACAGACCAGTCTTCTTTAATTCACAAGCTTCTAAAAAAAAGTTAACAAAAGAAAGATTCATAAGATGGAAGATAAAGCTAGGTTTCGAAGTTAGGCACACCCATTGGCCATGACAATGGTGTGGTTAACTATTTTAAGAGAGACCCTAAGATTTTGTATAAGACAGATCAGAAGTCAGAACTAGAAAGCCTGACCTAGTACTGCCTCTGTCTTTTGCCTGGAGTGTTTGTAGTTTGAGCAGCCGAAGTGCAATCTCTTGCCCAATGTCCTGGTTTTCCGCATTTGTAACAATCTCCACCTGAGGTTGTGGACTTTGCTTGCCTTGATTGAAACTGTGGATCACCAGATTGACCGGTGCAGTCTTTCGCCCAATGTCCTTGCTTCCCGCATTTGTAACATTCTCCACTTGAAGAGGATGACTTCACTTGGCCTGCTTCATACGTCGGATTGCCAGATTGAGCGGTGCAGTCTCTCGCCCAGTGTCCTTCTTTACCACATTTATAACAGGGCGCGCCCGTCTTTGCAGTTTGATATCCTCTGGTATCTGAGTCACCTAAGTTGCTGTTTTTGGTAACACTATACGATGTAGGAGAGCTGACTGCATTGTCATTGCACCATTTGAAGAAACCACAAGAGCCCTGCCATTAAGAAAAAGCCATGTTATTACACATACACTCATAGGCCATAGCTAAGCAATAATACATTAACCATTCAACCATCGTGCAAAATATTGACTCGGGATTCAATTTCTCACTTATTCCAGTGATGATTCATGGCACTAGTTGTGTGCAAAAAACTAGGCACTCAATTTCCGTCATTTAAACCTCCTGAACTAAGCTAATTTAATAAACTAATGAAGTGTACAGAGTTTGCTTGTTCGAAATAAATAAGTAAGCTGAGTATACTTGTTCATACAATCACAGATGGCATACAACGAAAGACAAGACTCAGCACTTAATCAGAGCTCTATCAGAAACGTAGCAAAGGACTCACTAAACCACAATCCAGATGCACAAACCACAAAATGTATAAAACACTGCAATGTTGATTATAGATAACAACACAACCAACCATATAAACAAATTAATATACACACCTCAAAAACAGGACAGCGATAAAACTGCCGGCCAACATTTTCCCCTGTTTTCGCAGTCAAAACACGGCACGATCCCGCACCACAGGGACATTGATGATCAGGGAACTTAGAATCATTAGTGTTTCCATAACTATGAGTAGTAGTTCCAGAAGACTGAACCGCATCACACCACTGGAAAAATCCACAACCTCCGTTTTCCTAATTGAACATGTAGCTTAAATCATTATTTTTCTCATAGGCTTTTCATCGAACACTTAGAAAGCAAAATAAACATTTTAAGAACCTCTCTATTGGGACATTTGTAGAATTTGCGTCCTGGATTCTTCGGTGTATTAGAAGTAAGAACCAAACAAAGACCTACTCCACAGGGACAACTCTTCTCCGGAAAATCATGTTCACCGGCGAGGCCTCCTCCGTCTGATCTTTGAAAACCGCCGGTGGTAACAGCAACACTGCGTGATTTAGAGGCCGGATTTAACGGACTTTGCTGCCATTGCTCACTTTTGCTTCCCTTTAGAGCCGCCATGTATGGTCCTTCCGGTATAGAAGAAACCCTAGGGCGTTTCGCTGCCGCTTCAGCTTCAATTGCGGCGAGTTCTAGTAGGAAATCATCTTCTTCGTCAAGAGATTCGACCTGAATCGTGTTTCTCTCCATAGTTTTTGTGCCCTCTCTCTCTCGATCTACGCTAGTTTGTGAAATTTTGTTTCGCTTTGGAAACTTTTTTGATTTTTAGGTTTGTTTTAGTGCTTAGGAAGCTTTCCCGGTTTTTTTGTTATTTTTTTTTTTTTGGAATTGCCGCTCCGCTTTACGTGGCCACGTGGCAATACTTAATCATCATGAATTATTCATAAGGGGATGTATGGAAGAAAGAATTTAGAGTGATTTGAGTTTTAATAAATTCTGAGATTATTTTGGTGAATTTTGGTGAATTAGAGAATTTGTTATTAAAATTCTTCCAAATCCCACCTAAAACCATGGAATTTGGATGTTTGAATTTTTAACTAAAATATTCTCTAAAATACTACCCAAAGTTACTCAAATCACTTCAAATCCACAAATAAAAATGTTTCCAATAACAGTGGATTTGATTGTAGATTTTCAAATCACTAACTCAATAACACTTGATTTTAGAAAGTTTTTTAAATTCATATTTGAATAACATAGGATTTATCATTTTAATACAAATCATTTCAAATCCTTTATTGAATACACCTCCTCTAAAAGTTTTGATTGCAACGATTTACATTGAATTAAGGGTATATGGAAAGTTTAATGGCCTCTCTAAAGTGCTAGTTGTTGCGATCGATGAGTGTCTTTTGTTTGGTTCTTATAAAATATTATTTTACATAGAGATTACTAGAAATTCATGAATTAATTAATTATTGTTAAGACGTTCAGGTCCCAAATGCTAAAACGGTCACGTGGCATTCGTGTAAGTTAGCTACAAAAATTCCTCATAAATCTGCTTGATAAGGTGGAGAAATAGAGCCTCTAGATTGGTGAGAAAACGATGAGACTCGTTAACAAAAACATTCGACAAAATGAGTATGGGACATCGTTTTTCGAGAACAAGCTGTAAAAATCGGAAAGTTCTAAAGATATTTGAAGACACATTATCACTTGCTTAATGTATACATATGCTGTGATTAAAGATAGGAAGGTTTACATATGTAAGGACACATCACTTATCAATAATTAATGCTTATGTTGTGATTAGAGATTCTGATTCTTAGGAAGATTCTAATGAGTTTTTAAGTCTACAAAAATCTTAGCTTTTTTTATGATCAGGGCAAACACTTAAGTTCCTCCATTTTGGCGACGCAAGGAGATCATGTCCATGATTAAAGTCAACATGGAAAAAGTTTCAAAATTCAGAATTTTCTTGGTTTTCGTTCATCTCCTTAAGTGCACTCCTCTTCCTCGAATCATAAACTATTAACCTTATGATATTTGTTATATTTAACTTGCCATAAATTTTATTAGTGAAAGACCAGCTTGAACATTGTATATGTTGATCTTTAAATATAATGTCTAGTTAGTGTTTCCCTTTTTTTTTCTAGAAAAGAAACATCTAATCTATATATAATAGCAATCTAATAAATACCATTTGCACATCTCAACGGTTGCGTCTTTTTATCGCAACTTTTCGTTAATTTTTTTATTAGTTAAAATATATATTTTATGGTTTTGTTTTTTTTTATAAATTGCATTCTGAATGTTTTCTACGGTTGCGTTTTTTATTGTAACTCTTCATAAACAGTTGAAACCGCTTATTCGAATCATTGCAATATTTAATTTATTTTACGAACAATTGCAACCTTTAGTTTATATATTTATTTTATTTCACGAACAATTGCAATTTTTGGTTTAATATATAAATAGCTATAACATTTAATTATCTACCGCCGCGCGTCTCTCGGTGTAACTATTCATAAATGATTATTTTAACTCTTAATTTTTTATTACTAAAATGTATTTAAATGAGATTGTAACTATTTAATTGAACTGTTTCAACATTTGGATTATTTGACGAATTATTGCAACTTTTGGTTTTGTGTTACGAACCATTGTTATCTTTAGTATATTTGATGAACTATTGCAACATTTGGTATAATTGACGAACCGTTGCAGTTTTTGGAATATTTGATATCTACGGTTGCGTTTCTCGGATAAGTTCGTCATATTTTTTAAAAATATTTAAATACTAAAATATATTTAAATGAATTGTTGTTACCGTTTAATTTAACACAATAGCATTTGGTTTATTTGACGTTGAACGTTTTGGCTTATTTATCAAACCATTGTAATATTTGGTTTATTAGTTTATGCTTTTTGCACTTGGGAATAGTTTTTTAGTTACAATTTATTGTTTTTCTAATATCAATATACTTAATAAATGCTTGTGAGGGTTTTCTTTATCATAATTTTTGTAAAATATATATTGATTTGTTATTAAAAAAATTCAAAATTATTACAATTCATTATGATTTTTTCGTTTGATATTTTTTAAAATAATTTTTGAAATATATTCCTCCGCGACATTGCGGGGGTCCTGAGTCCTAGTTAATATAAAAATTCAATATGAATTATATGATCGTAATGTCTTGTTCATGTTCTTTTTCGGGAAAAGAAATGTCTAGTAAATTCAAATCAAACTAAACATTAAAAATGTAGCAAAGAAAAAAAATATATACATGTTTTCTAGAGAACTCATGTGATTATGTGATATCTACGCTTTATATTAAAAAATGTGGACAATAATAAAACAAATTATATGCAAAGTGTTACTTGACGCACAAAAAACCCCGAAAATTGTGGTGAGAACAAGATCAAAACCTTAAATAAAAAAAAACCACGGTCGTAAGCAACTCTCCAAGAAAGTCTCTGAGCTCTCAATTCCTTTCAATTAAAAAAAGAAAATTAAAAAGACAATCTTTAATTTAGGAAAATCATAATAAGCTATTTTTGGTAAGTGGAAGCCTAAACTTTACCAGCTAACTCCCTCAAAGACAAGAAAATATGTCTCTCTTTCCTTGCGGATCCTCAAAAACAATGTCCAAACTTTTGAACCATAAACAAAATCTAAACAAAACAACATTCCTAGAAGAAGAGACAACGCCATACATAATTAGTTTTAACATCATCTTGGTAATTAGATTGTTAGGAGATACCAAAACAACAACAAGAACAGCAGTTCCATTACTTCTCCTTAACCCATGACTGCTGTTCTATTTTTCTGCTTCCTTCTCCTCTGTTTCTCCTTCACCCCTTCTTTGCAAAACGTCAGTGAATCCGAACCGCTCGTGCGGTTCAAGAGCTCGGTGAATATAACTAAAGGAGATTTGAATTCATGGAGAACAGGAACCGATCCTTGCAATGGGAAATGGTTTGGGATCTATTGCCAAAAGGGTCAAACAGTCTCGGGCATTCACGTCACCCGGCTTGGTCTCTCCGGGACCATCAACATCGAGGATTTAAAGGATCTTCCAAATCTAAGGACGATCAGGCTTGACAACAATCTTCTCTCAGGCCCACTCCCTCCTTTTTACAAGCTTCCAGGCTTGAAATCTCTTTTGCTCTCAAATAATAGCTTTTCCGGCGAGATTGCTGATGATTTCTTCAATGAAACGCCACAACTCAAGCGGGTTTTTCTTGATAACAACCGGTTATCTGGAAAAATCCCCGCTTCTTTGATGCAACTCGCAGGTCTCGAGGAGCTTCACATGCAAGGCAACCAGTTCTCTGGTGAGATACCTTCTCTTACAGATGGCAACAAGGTTTTGAAATCCCTCGACCTCTCCAACAATGACCTGGAGGGAGAGATCCCAATAAGCATTTCTGAGAGGAAGAATCTAGAGATGAAATTTGAAGGGAATCAAAAGCTTTGCGGGTCACCTCTGAATATAGTATGCGATGAGAAAACTTCATCTACAGGGTCAGGGAATGAGAAGAATAACACCGCAAAAGCTATATTTATGGTCATCTTGTTTCTTTTGATATTCTTGTTTGTGGTAGCGATTATTACTAGATGGAAGAAGAAGAGGCAACCCGAGTTCCGGATGCTCGGTAAAGACCACCTAAGCGACCAAGAGAGCGTGGAAGTCCGTGTACCGGACTCGATAAAGAAGCCTATCGAGTCGAGCAAGAAGCGTAGTAACGCAGAAGGTTCCTCAAAGAAAGGTTCATCGCATAACGGAAAAGGTGGAGGAGGTGGTCCAGGAAGCGGCATGGGAGACATTATAATGGTGAACAGCGAGAAAGGCTCCTTTGGTTTACCCGATCTCATGAAGGCTGCAGCCGAGGTGCTAGGAAATGGTAGCCTTGGATCTGCCTATAAGGCGGTGATGGCCAACGGATTATCCGTGGTTGTGAAAAGGATTAGGGATATGAACAAACTTGCACGTGATGCATTCGATACCGAGATGCAACGATTCGGGAAACTCCGACACCCTAACGTTCTTACCCCTCTAGCTTATCACTATCGCCGTGAAGAGAAGCTTGTTGTCTCTGAATACATGCCTAAAAGCAGTCTACTCTACGTTTTGCACGGTACTATACAACGTTTTCGCTTTTTTCCATTGATTTAGAAGCATATTTGACGTTTACCTTGGGATATATTTGAACATTTTTTTTACATGAAATTCCAGGAGATCGTGGGGTTTATCATGCGGAGCTAACTTGGGCAACAAGGTTAAAGATCATCCAAGGAGTGGCACGTGGAATGGACTTCTTGCACGAGGAGTTTGCGTCCTACGAGCTCCCACATGGAAATCTCAAATCCAGCAATGTTCTATTAAGTGAAACCTATGAGCCATTGATTAGCGATTACGCGTTCCTCCCGCTTCTTCAGCCTAACAACGCCTCACAGGCTTTATTCGCGTTCAAATCCCCCGAGTTCGTACAAAACCAGCAGATTTCACCAAAATCAGACGTCTATTGCCTTGGAATTATCGTTCTTGAGGTCATGACGGGGAAGTTCCCATCTCAATACCTAAATAATGGTAAAGGGGGGACGGATATAGTTGAATGGGTGCAATCTTCAATCGCGCAACATAAAGAAGAAGAGCTGATAGATCCAGAGATAGCGAGTAATACTGATTCGATGAAACAAATGGTGGAATTGTTGCGGATCGGGGCTTCTTGTATCGCAAGTAACCCTAATGAGAGACAAAACATGAA